TCTTTTATTTTGATCCCTAGCACTTAGAACAGTGATGTACATAAAAGGGTAGTGTGTGTGTATACATATGTACATATACATATATGTGTGTTTTTATATATATATATATATATATATATATATATATATATATATATAAATGGAAAAAAAAGAATAGACTAATAGTCTTTTCCATTGTGGAAATTCTATTATTATGTGACTTCCCAAACAGTCCCAAGACTTCTGTACCCCATTTCCTGTATTTCTTATTTCCCAGTTGCATGTGAAAACATTTTTTTTTAAAACATGTGTTTTTAAAATTTTGGGTTCCAAATTTTCTCCCTTCCTGCCTCCCCACCCACCCTCACTGAAAAGGCAGGCAACTCAATATAGGTTATACATGTGCAGTTACTGCATCATTGCTTAATTTCATGATAGTATTCCATTACATTCATTTACCACAATTTGTTCAGCCATTCCAGAAGTGGGGATGTTTAGCTGGAAGAAGGGGCAGGGAAGGGTAGATATGTGTTTGAAGGTCTTCCCTGTGGAGAAGGCATGAGACGTGTTCTCTTTGCCCACAGAGGCAGAACCAGAACCAATAGATGCAAGGTGCAGAGGTGGAGTCAGGCTTAGTGTTAGGGGAAACTTCCTCACAGTTGGAGCTGTCCAAAGACTACTGTCAGGTAATTTGCCTTCTGCCAAGTTAAATTGATGCTACCTCATAGAAGATTAGTTGAAATCCATCAAACCTCCCCTTAGGACCAAAAATGTGACATATTTCCCTCATTGCAAGTCCTCAGAAAGAGGCTGGAGGACCATTTGTCCTGTAAGTTAGGTAGGGATTCCCTTCACATAGGGCTTAGACTAGACAGCTGCTGAGGCTGCTTCCCATTCCAATTAGGTGATTCTGTGGGTCCCAACTTGGAATCTTCTGTACCATCGTGCTGAGCAAGCCTTTTCACAGCCTCCTCTCCCTGCCTTCCCCTGATCATTCGCTGTCCCGTGGCTGCAACTTAGGTATTTTATAGAACGTAAGAAAAAAGGATGTAACCTGAACAGCCCTACAGTTTTTCTTAATGCTGAGTTTTAATGAGAATTAATTACGGCAGATTCTTCCCATCTCAGTGGTTGCAGAGTGAGCAGGCTTGAGTTGGCTGACAAAGGTCCTACTTCCTGTGTTAAGAGGGGAGTTTCTCAGGCGTGGCCATAGTGGGTGCCTGCAGTATGCATGCCACAGGTGTGTTGTTTGGAGAAGTGGAGACATGGGTAAGATGGAGAAAGGCATTGTGGTCTCAGTGACAGCCTTCGGATTTTAAACTGTGCTGAGGCTTCAGCACATACAAGGCAAGTGGAACTCGGTGACTAGTGCTTCTCTTGTTAATGCCATACTCTTATGTTGTACAGAACTTTATGCTTTTTAAATCATTTTCACTCTCATACATTGCCTTCTTTGATCTTCACCAAAGCTCTGTGAGAGAGGCAAGGGAGGGATTATTATTTTCTTTTTTACATATATACTTGAGGAATTGAGATTCAGAGGAATTGACTTTTCCAAAGGTCACGCATCTCGGAATTAGTAGAGCCAGGACAGCAGCATATCTCCTCACTACTCTGTAAGGGTTCACTATACCATGTTGCCGCACCTTGTTCTTCAGGCAGTCCTAGGCATCTAGCTTTTCACCATTTCCATCCCAAACTCCCAAGGGATCAGAGATCTAATTTTTTCCCCTTTGTCCTTTTTTATATTTCTGCTATTGCTTCCCCTTGTGCAAGAGTGTTGGCTTCTCTTTGTTTTCCCCTGTATCCATGATCGGTGAGGGTTGGGTTCATGCTGCCTTGCCAATAGTATTGCAGTGGACCAATTCCCTCACCTGGGAACCCTCCCCAGCCTGATCCAGGAAGCTCAGTAATATAGAAAAAGACTCCATGACGTTACCATCCTGGTAACCTGCCTCAATCTCCATCTTGGTCATGCATTTCTCTTTGGTAGTCTTTTAGGTTCTTTGCTAATTTCATCCTGAGTTTGGCAGTGTGCTTTATCCTACCCAGTGGCAGTCTGGTGACTTCAGTCTTGCACCTGAGCTTTGTCATGGTTCAGTTAAATTACACAGACATTTATTAAGTGCTTATTGTATAGAAATCACCATTATGCAGTTGGAATACATACCCACAGTGACACAATTCTGGCTGTCAAAGGAGTGTACCTTCTGTCAGTGCTGCCTTGTGTGAAATTTAGCTCTGGCCCATCAGGCTGTGGTGGCACCTTATGACTAGTGGCCTTGGATGTGTTGTTATTTTCCTCAGAGGAATATAATGAATTAAAATTTGAGTTACACAGAGTACAGCAGGTGAGCCCTCTAGTGGCATAAACAGATCAATACGTTGATTTGTGTTTGCTGACTGGAAGAGATTGCTCATTAGTGAACCTGCCAGCCTCCCCTTTGCATGAAACCAGAGTAATTGGTTGCTTAAAAAATCCAATTTGCTCATGAGCTCATTGTTTGGGTAGCTAAAGCTACATGATTGTACAGACAGATGTTATGGCTCACATTTATAAACCTCTACCTGCACAACAACCCTGTCAAGATAGATTGTAAAATATCTTTGTACACATTTTCTAGATGAGAAAACTGAAGCTCAGAGTGGGAAAATGACTTATCTGTTATCAAAGTTAATGTCCACACTGAGAGCCAAACCCAGGTCTTCTGACTCTACCTCCTCTAATTTTTCCATTATATTACACTACCCTAAAAAAACCCCTTAAATATGTAAATCAATTTACCTGCCTATTCTCCCATATAGAGAGACCTCACCCATGGGGTGAGTGGTACATGTGACTTAGAGCAAGACTTTCCCATTCTCTGGGACTCAGTTTCCCTACCTGTAAAATTAGGAGCTTGGATTAGATGCATTCTAAAGCCCTTCTAGCTCTAAATCTCTCACCTTCTGTAGGAACCTTGCCCAGTAGTTCCATCCCCAGCTGCTAGTACTTTCCTTTTTGGATTCCTTTTCGGATTCCTTTCCATCTACTTTGTTTATATCTTATATCACCTAGTTTTCCATGCTTCTCCTGTCTGTGTCTTCCCACCCCACCCCACCCCTGCAGCCCCACGTGAGAATGTGAGCTCCTTGGTAGGGACTGTTTTTTTCCTTTTTTGCATCTATAGCATTGAGCACAGTGCCTGACATATAATTAATTAGTGCTTCATAAATGCTTATGGAATGACTGTTTGCCTAAAGCTATAATTGTGTGAGCCTTTCAGATTGGAACCCAGAATTCTAATCTGTGTAGGATTAGCGATGCTAGAAGATAAGCTGTTCTCTTGCTGATGTCCCATAACACTTTGTGCCTCCCTCTCTGATCATATGTTATTTAGTGTTTCACTAATGTTGGTATGTGTCACAGCTATTTCCTAGACTAGGGAGTCTTAGACTTTTTTGTGTCTTTGACCCCTTCCACAGTCTGGTGAGGTTTTTGGACCTCTTCTCAAAATAATGTTTTTAAATGAGTAAAATGAGCTATTGGTCAACAAACATTTATTTAAGCACTCCCCATGTGCTAAGCATTGTGTGGAATACAAATCCAAGCAAAAAGAAAGATAATCCCTGCCCTCAGGGAGCTTACTTTCTAACAGGGAAGACAACACATAAAAGGAAGGCAGAGAGGTGATTGGCATGAGAACTTGTTGAAGTTGGGATTGCTGCCTGTTGAGAAATGAAGAGATGGCTGGCCTGGGTACCTCTTGAACAGGAGGCTTTGGAAGGAGCTGTCTAATCAGAGAGAGGGGCAGTAGGGACAGAGGGTGCTTCTGAGAGTGAATTCCAGGGCTAATGGGATCTGTCAGGGTCAAGAGGTTCCTAAATCAGAATGGAGAGGACACCAATTATATTGAAATGTAGTTTAAGTTTACAGACCTCAGATTAAGAAGCCCATTGGGTGAGGGCAGGGCACATCTATCTCATCTAAGTTTTGCATCTCCCTTGGTGTCCACTGGCCCAGGGTTCTAGAGGCAGGAGGCACTTAATGAAGTTTGAATTGAACTGAATAAGTGTCTGCAGGTTGTGGAGGGACTGACAAAATGAAGAGCTTTCTTTTCATCACCAGTGAGAGTTTTTGTCATTTCAGGGCTAAGACTATTCCTTATATTTCCGTGGCAGAAGAAAGGCAGGGTTGAAGAAACTTCCCTTCAAAGCCTGGTTGAGCTGTCTCTTTGGTCTTAAGGAAAACTGTATCAAGTAGTGGTCGGGAGGTTTGGAGTCATTGGGACCCTGTGAGAGGCCCTGTGACTCTCAAGAAAGCCAGCATTCCTGGGGAAGTCAGCCCCCTCTACCACCTCAAATTCGGAAGGACTGGGAGCATTGTAAAGTCCTGGCAAGTCTAGAGATATGCTGACTACATGGAGTATAAGAGCAGGGGGCAGAACAGAAGTTCTCCAGTTTATCAGGGACTAATGGAAGTCAGGCCTTTGGAGAATGGGGAAGGAAGGCACAAAACCTTAATAAGGAATGATTAGAAAGGAGAGAGAACAAGATGGGGGGGGCAAGAGTAAGGGAGGTGATTCTTGATTCCTCAAAGACTTTTCCCCAAGAAGATAATGGGAACCTTGGAAATGTCTGACCTAAAATGCTAGGCCTGGCTCCCTGGATTTTAAAGGCAGCTTTGCCGAAAGCCTGGGAGCTTAGAGCAGGAGAGCTGCTGTGTAACAGTGTCAGAATTGCCAAACTTCCTAGACCAAGATAGGCACCTAGTGTCGACCATGGAGGCCTTCGGAATTTATAGTTGGAAAGGCACTGACTCTCTTAGAAGATTTAGGACAGAAAGAGACCTCAGAAGTCACAGAGTGACTCATTTTTTAGGTGTGGAAATTGAAAAACTATGATTTGTCTAAAGATCATGCAGGTAAAAAGTTGGTAGATTTGAACTCAGATCCTCTGACTCTCAAATCTAGTCGCCTTTCTACTCTGCCAAGATCACCAGGTTTTCTTTGGCCCTAACTGGTTTCCCTCTGCTTTTCCAGCCCTGGCCCAGTGTATCAAATTTGGCAAAGGATTTCATTGACCGTCTGCTAACTGTGGATCCTGGTGCCAGGATGACAGCTCTCCAAGCCTTGAAGCACCCATGGGTGGTGAGCATGGCTGCCTCTTCGTCCATGAAGAACCTTCACCGATCAATTTCCCAGAATCTTCTCAAGAGGGCATCCTCTCGCTGCCAGAGCACCAAGTCAGCTCAGTCCACACGCTCTAGCCGCTCCACCAAGTCCAACAAGTCTCGGCGTGTGCGTGAGCGGGAACTTCGAGAGCTCAACCTGCGCTACCAGCAGCAGTATAATGGCTGAGTCGCCGACTGTCTTTGCACACCTGAGGTCTTCTCAGACACGCCTTAAGGAAGTGGCAGTGGGACCTGGTGCCCAGGGAGCAGGAGCAGGCTTCTCACTTAGGGAAGGGTCTGGGGCCACACAACAGACTACCATCCCTTTGCCAGACATCCACTGTCTTAAGTGCCTTGTGCCACCCCGCACGCTAGTGAGGGCCCCCAGAAGAAGGAAAGCCTGGTGGGGCTGGGGTGCCCCGTGTTATTTATTAATGCTGGATTCTAAGGAATGAGTTTGTCTGCCCACACCCATCCCGTATACATAGGTGGCATGCTTGTCTGTATCAAGAGCCCCTCTCAGATGACAAAGGACAGATGGTATTTCTGTTGTGTGCCCACCTTTTCTGAGAGGTTGGAGTACTGAGTGGTTATGACTCAACTACCTGAGAGCTTCCTGCTGTGTCAGAACTGCAGAAAGCCCAGGTGGGGGGTGGGGGGTCAGGACTAGACCAGGAACTTTAGGTCTGAGCGTCTTACTCTGGTAGGGCAAGTATTGGAAGCAGAGCCCCTCAGAGCAGTTTAAAGAAAGGGAAGTCCCTTGTCCCTCCTTCCCTGACTCCAGGCCCCCTATCCTATCTCCTTGCTATTCCTACCTAGAGATGGTCCTTGTAGGTGTGATATTCCATGGGCCAGGTTGTTGGCCTGGGGTAAGGGCTGCACCTCCTTGCAGGCTGCACTATTTGGTGGTAATGCCCCAAATCCTCCTCAGGAGAGGTGTTTGGGTCGTTTTGTTTTTTTTAACCAAAACCCCAAGCCTCCTTATTCTTTTCCACTCACTTGGAGCCAGATGGGGCTAGTACATGAGAGCCCCCTTTGGTTTTTCTGCTTGTTTAAAGGCTTAACAGGGAAGCTTGCCCGGATATCTATCCTTATCCCTTTTCCTTGCTTTTCTTCTCCCTCCATTCCCTGGGAGGACTCAGCTGGCTCAGAGCATGTTTAGGCTCTGACTATCCAGAAATAGAGAAGGAAACACTGAAGTCAGAGCTGATATCTACAGCATGCCCTTGGCACCAGAGTACTCTTTCTGATCAGTAGTACCACCCCTGTAACCAGCAGGAAATGGAATTGCCTTTGTGGTAGGCTCACCTGGGCCAGAGTAAGTGCTCAGTAGTGACTCAGAGGGGAAGTGCCTGGGGGGAGCCAGAGACTCAGCCAGGATGTGAGTGTTCTTTCCTAAAGCCCTGGGCTGGAAATGGCATGGAGGAGGGAAACTAAGCCTCCAGGTCCAGCTCATCTAGTGAATGGGGGAAGATCCACTGAGGGGCCTGGGTGGGGCCTAGCTTTCTATGGGATCTTCCTTTAAATAGAAGTAGGTATATATGAAAAAAGGAATACAGAGGACATGTAGCCATCTTGGTCATTCCATCCCTTGACAACCTACTTCCTTCCCCTAGGTTGTTTTGTTGTATAGTCGTTTTTAGCCTTGTCGGACTCTTTAAGATCTCTTTTTAGGGTTTTCTTGGCAAAGATACTGGAATGGTTTGCTGTTTCCTTCTCCAGCTCATTTTAGAGATGAGGGAACTGAGGCAAGCAGGGTGAAGTGACTTGCCCAGGGTCACCCAGCCAGTAAGTGTCTGAGGTCAGATTTGAACTCAGGTCTTTCTGACTCCAGGTGATCTATCCACTGCATCACCTAGCTGTTTACCTTCCCTTGGGAGGGTGCTATAATATGCATAGTGATTTTTTCAAGGCAGACAGGGTTCAAGTGTCCTATGATATTCCAATGTTGTCCTGGTCCTCTTTCCTTTCATCTGATTTCTCCCAGGAAATTGTATGTAAAGGGAAACCTAAACCTAACTAGTCCTTAGCTCTGGAAGGGTGAAGGGCAGATAGCCTAACCTGTAGCTAGGAAAGAAGAGGATAGTGGCTGGTTTTCCTGCCTGTTGTGGGTACTTGGCCCGAAGGGAAAAACAGCTGAAGGTGGTCTCTTCAAGGCAGACTGAGGTAAATCACCTTGGCCTCTAAGCAGAGTTGTGGCTACCAGTTTTTCCCCTCCCCTTGGAAAACTGAAAATACATGTATCCCCTTTCGTGTCTTATCCTATATACCCTCTTGTCCTCGGGGGAGGAGTTGTGCCCTGCCTCCATTTTCAAGGGTTCTTCCACTTCTAGGTCAGGGATGGCTACAAGGCTGGGTAAGTGTTACCTATTCCTCCTGCCCCCAGGTGCTGTCTCTGCTATCACAATGTAGACCCTATGTCTCTGCCTTATTTCCTCTATACTCTTCAGAGCTCATCTGTCTACCTTACTTTTTCCATCATACCCTGCAGGCAGGATGTTTCAGGGCTCTTTTGGCTTGTGTATCAGGGTTTGCCCACTAAATGAACCAGTCTTCCATGGACAAAGTCTAAGTGACACCTAGTGGCTACTTGGGATATGGATGGGCAGTGAGCCTGGGAAGCAGCCACCATGGGGCCTCACAGGAGGTTTTGGAGCTGGAATTCTGCTGCCTGAGGAATGAGGGAGTTCTGAGGGAAGGGCTTAGTGATAGCTTCATTCATTCTTCCATCCCCTTCCCTTCCCCGCCTGGAAGCCTGTCCTTAAGGAATTTCTTGTGGAACTTAGCAATACTGTGTGAATCTGCCCAGCCCTGCAGGGAAGGGGTCGGGGAGTCCCCAGTGCCCCAAGGTGAAACTGCAGGACTGAGATGGAGGGGGGGCTGGCTCCCCCAACATGGCCCATTTGGGACTGTATACTTTAAGTCCTGACCAGACTATGTTGTCTGCTTAGACATCTCCGACTCCTTAAATGCACGGGCTTGCATAGTTTGTCTGGCTTGCAGCTAAGATGGAACAATAGAGCCCATTTTAGGGGGCTTCCCTCAGTTTTTCTTGCCTCTTTGTAAACTGAAACTGCCCTCAGCAAATCTGAGAAGGGGCTAGGCCTTAATTTCTAGTAGAGGAGCCAAGCTGCCTGTTTAATAAGACCCCATGGCACTTAGGGTAGGGGCTTCCACCAAGAAAACAAGTGGGTATTCTCCTCGATCCCTGGCCCACAGAGATCTAATGGAACACTGGTCTTTTATTTGAAACAAGCCAACAACAAAAAGAGAAAAACTATTCATATGGACATTGTTGCCCATTCTGACCAGGAGTGCCAGGGACCAGGCCTCCTCTCCTGGTGGTTCCTTGGTACCAACAGGAAAACCAAGCCAAAGTGACTTTGTATGTTGTGTATGCAAGTGCACATTTGTGCCAACGAGAGAGCCGTGTGTCATGGAGTGCCTTCTCCAAGACCTGGGGAACCTAGAGATTGTTCTCCTGGGCCACATCGCGTGCCGTTCTGCTTTCCTCTGACAGCCCAGTGACTTTCAGGCCCCGTTTACTGTCCCAAAGACAGATGCTGCCACAGCCAGAAGAGATCTCAGCCACTTTCCTAGCTTCCTGGAGTGCTGGGCAGCAGTTAGAGACCTAAGGGACTGCAAAGCAGATCCCTCATGTGGGCCTAGAGTTTCTTTACTCCCATACCTCCTTCAGCCTACTCTCTGTCCCGCCACCGAGAACCCTTCCCCTGGAAGGGTCAGTGGGTTTGTCTTGGTTAGGGGAAGGGAGATGACTGGGTGGAAGCTTCCTGTACCTTTTTCTGTCACTTAGTTCCCAGGGATCTCTTTGGGGAGCCTGTCCCTTCAGTGGACTCTCTCAGTTGCCAGTCCTACTACCTGCACACCACTACCCCACATCTTTGCCAGTTGATCCTTCTTGGACCCAGACACCTCCGCCTCCCATCCCCATCCCCGCCCCAATCCATAAGAGGCAGGATGACTGTGTATTTGTGAGTTTGAGACATTTGTTCTTTGTCTCCTCCTCTTGACATTAAAAAAGCCCCTCATACTAGTGTTCCCTGGGAGCTTGTGCCATTGGGTTCAGAATGTATGAAGTTATTTATTTTGTGTACTCATTTTGCAAATGTATCTTGCATATTCAATAAACCTGCAGTCTTCCCCCAGGATGACTGTTTCATCCCTGTGAGCCATGACTGTTTCCTGGGTTTGGGGTAGGGGAAAGGGGCAAAAGGAGAGGGTGGGATAATAATAGTAACAATAATAACAATGAACATTTATAAAGCGCTTACTGTATGCCAGGTGTTGTGCTAAGTGCTTTATAATTATCTCATTTGACTCTCAACAATCTTGGGAGGTGTAATAGTAAGGTGTTACGGGCAGGAGGTAGGTGCGGTTATTTTCCCCATTTTACAGATAAGGAAACTGAGGGCTAACAGGTTAAGGGATTTGCCCAGGGTCACACATCTAGCCAGCGTCTGAGATTGCATCTGAACTCGGGTCTTCCTGACTCTGGGCCCAGCACTCTGACCACTATAGGACGTGGATGCCTTGAGTTGAGGAGAACCCCGATGAGGAATGGTAGGGAGTGTGAGGTGGCCCTAGAGTCTTTTGGGAGGAGCAGTTCCTCTCACCCTAAGGTCTCTCTGTCGTACTTCATTTGTGCAGAAACACGTTGCTTCCTTCACCAGTCTCAGGTTTCCTTTCTGATGGTGCCAAGGCCAAGTCCTGAGTCCCAGGAGGTCTTCTTGGCTCAGCCCCAGGTGCTGCATAATTCCTTGGCAGTGTCCCAGGGTGGGTGGGGTTGTGTAGAGTGCTGGGAACAACCTTTGGCTTGTTTCACCTCATCCTGGCCACCTGGCTCCCACACCTGCTGGCCACCTGAGGCTAGAGTAAAGGAAAAGCCCGAGGGGAAAAACAGCCCAGACTTGAGAGCAGATAGGGAATTTATTGTGCTTCAGGGCATAGGGAGGAAGGGCAGTTGGGCTTGTGCGGGGTGTCCTGAAAGCCCCTCCTTCAAGTTCTTTAGTTGTTGGCCACTGTCAGATAGATCCAAGAGCTGAATTTGCTGATTCGTGTGTACACAGCGGGTGCCTGGACATCGCAGTTGCTTGTCCCCCAGGAGACAACACCGACTTGGACCCAGGGTGCTTCCTACAGGTTGTTTAGTCGGCACACAAGGGGGCCTCCGGAATCACCCTGGAGAGAAGTGAAGGGGATGAAGGCAGGTAACCAGGGAGCTGGGAAGGCTTGGAGGTGGCTGACGCTGGAGCCTAGAGGGTATTGGGTGCTTGGAGCTATGAAGGAGCCTCTGGTTCATCCTGAGAACAATTTTGGGTCATGTGAATCAACAGTGGAGAACCCCCAGGGAAAGGAAGAGTTGGGATTCTGATCTGTCTGAGAACCTGTTTTGGGTTGATCCTTTGGGGGCTAGCTCAGTCCCTAGGGGCAGCACCAAGAGCTTTCAAATTACCTGTCAAAAAGAGGCTCCAGAGCTTCCCGCACAGATCATGGCATCCATGGTGTGACTGCCCCACAATACTACTGGCACTGATATACTGTCACCAGGGGCAGAACCACCTGCTGGGGCCAAGCTGTGGTGGTGTTGGCTGTAAGTAGAAGCAAAAGTCTTTGCCTCCTTTCTTCTAATGAACTCCCAGGCTGAGCATCCTCCCATGTGGCCCCAGAGCCCTGATGCTGGTTCACACACAACACTGTTCCTCTGGGTGCCCCAATAGAAGTCCCATTCGTTCTGAAGCTTCCTCCTCACATACCTACACCACTGGTGCGGCCCCAGCCTGTAGTGACACAGGTGATGTCCTGGGGGATGTTGTTGTCTGTGGCCAGACACACAGGAGATGCTCGGGAAGTGAATTGGACAGGTGAGGACAGCTTTAGGAGAGTAAAATCATTGTTCATGGTGTTGGGATTCCAGCCAGGGTAGGTGATGATCTGTAGGGAACCCATGAGGTTGGATAGGGCCCTATGGACACGGGAGTCAGGGGTGAAGTCTTGAGGCTCTTGCCTGGCAAGGCCTGGTGGACAGTGGTAAAATAGGGGACACTTACTTAGATATAGGGTGCTTGAGGGAACAAGGCTGCTTTGGGTTCAGGACTTGATCTTGTGGAGATTGAGAAGAATAACTAGAAATGAATTGCACCATAGATTTCTACAAAGTTCAGGTCTGGGTGCCTAGGTCCCCTCTTTCCCTTTGACTTAGGTGGTGAGGGCTGGGCCCTGGCAATTCTCTAACCTCAGTTCAGCATCTCCCCACTTCAGAAGGCGTGATCTGTTGGGCCGGTTCATTCCAGATGCTCACCTTTGAGGTAGTGCTAACCTGCGTTAGGTGACTGGTCATATTCTCCAAGGACAACCAGGTGGTGGGTTTGGGCTGCGGCAAGAATGAAATGTGGGAATAGGCAGATATAAAAGGAAACGGATCCCCTTTGGGCCTGAAGAAATGGGTCTAGGCTAACATAGCTGTGGAGGGGGGATGTGGGCCAGGACTCAGTGGAGGGATCACTGCAGAGTAGGACAGACAGACAAAACTGTTGGACTTGGGATGGGCTACTCCTCTGGAGGAGCCTCAGTTCCTGTGACTTTGAAGGAATGTGGCTTTAGGGCCCTCGCCTCACGTTGCAGTGGGCAGCAGTGATGAGGGAACCTCCACAGAAGTGAAAACCATTTCGCTCCTGTAGAGAGGAGGAGAGAGGGGAACAGCCCGTTTAGGCTTATTGGTAAGCTCACAGGCTAAAATCATGCATGTGTATCAGCATGCAGAGGGTATGCTGCTCTTTGAGGCCACGTGCTGGAGCGCCAAGAACATTGGGTATGGATATGAACCCTGTTTCTGCTGCTTATTAGCTTTGTTCATTTTAGCGGTTCAGAACTGTGGATTTTGAGTCAGATGACCTGAGTTTGAATCCTGGCCCAGCTGCTTACTAGTTGCATGACTTTAGGCAAGTCACATAACTTTTCTGAGCCTCATCTGTAAAAGGAATCCCTGAATTTAGAATTGGAAGTGACCGCAGAAAAGTGACCCTTCAAATGAAAGGCGCTCCAAAGAAGGGGAACTTGTCACCTCTTCTGGCAGGGCATTGTGTTTTGTGACAGAGTCTAATTCAGGGGTGGGGAATCTACAGCCTTGAGGCCACATGTACCTTCCTTCCTTCTTTTTCTCCTTCCTTTTTCTTTTCTTTCACTCTGTCCACATAAGGTATCACACATATTTCCTTATCTCCTGCCGGAGCTCTGCCCAAAGGGAATGTAAATTTTTAATCTTTAAAACGTTTTTTTCACTTTTTTCTTTTAAAGACCAGCCTTAACCCTAAATCACTCTGTCTCTCACTGATTGGACAATCATAGGTGCCAGGCCAAGCCCTACTTGGTCATTACTTGGGCCTTGATTGGCTCAGAATGAATGTAAAAAGCAGTTCTTTCTGTTTTGGCCAGAAACCCTGAGGGTCTTCCCCCTACCCCAGATCTATTTTTTTTTTAAAAGGCCATTCTTTGCTTCCTTTCTTATTGAGTCTTAATCACTAAATAGGCTTGGCCTCAGTCAAACTGAGACCTTTTTTGTTTTATTTTGTTTTTGGTGAGGCAATTGGGGTTAAGTGACTTGCCCAGAGTCACACAGCTAGTAACTGTTATGTGTCTGAGCCAAATTTGAACTCAGGTCCTCTCGACTCCAGGGCTGGTGCTCTATCCACTGTGCCACCTAGCTGCCCTCCAAACTGAGACCTGTTAAGGGCCTTAGCTTGAAAGGCCAAGGATCCTCACTGCATCCTGGGCCATCTCCAGTCGTCCTGATCTATATCTGGTCACTGGACCCAGATGGCTCCAGAGGAGAAAGTGAGGCTGGTGACTTTGCACAGCCCTGCCTCACTTAAATCCAATTCACTTACATGTCATGGCATCACCTTCCTGATGTCATGGTCCTCTTTGAGAACGAAGGACAAACAGCATTGGTCTTCTAGATCCTTGGGTGCGGCCTTTTGACTGAGTCAAAGTTTTATAGAACAAATCCTTTTATTAAGGAGATTTGTTCTGTGAAGTTTGGATTCGGTCAAAGGGCCACACTTGAGGACCGAGGGGGCTACATGTGGCCTGGAGGTCACAGGTTCCCCTCCCGTGGTCTAATTGTTAGGAAGATTCCCCTGACATCAAACCCCAAGTTGCTCCTGGTTCTTGCCACTGGAGTCAGACAGAATGAGTCTTAATCTCTCTTCTGCATCAGAGCCCTTCAGTTACTTGAAGACCTCTGTTCCCCCCTTCTCTTCCCGTTCCCCCCATCCTCTCTTCTCTAGGCTAAACATCCATATGCCCAGTTCCTTCCCTGATCATCATTTGACATGGCTCAAGAATCATCACCATCTGGCCACTCTGCCCCCTAAAACCCCATCTTATCAGGCCTCTTAAACTGTGCTGCCTAGAACCGAACACAATACTTTATTTAGACGTGGTCTGATCAAGGCAGACCAGAGGAACAATCACTCTGTATTCCTGGAAGCTATCTGTCTTAATACAGTCCAAGATCACGCTAGCTTTTTCAGCTGTCCCATCACAGTACTGACTCATTAACCTGCCCTGCCCCTCTGCGGACTTAAGGCAAATTGCCTCCTAGCCGTGTCTCCCCCATCCTGTACTTGTGAAGTTAATTTTCTGAGCCCAAGTTTAAGGCTTTACATTTATTCTTATTGAATTTCACCTTATTAGATTCAGCCCAGTGTTCTAGCCTGTCAGGATCTTTCTTTGGATTCTGAGTCTGTCATCCACTGTGTTAGCTGTCCCTCCCAGCACTGGTGTATCTTTGGACAAGTTACCTCCTTTCAGCCTCTATGAATGTATTATCTACTTCACAAGGGTTCTTGTGAGCAAAGTGTTAAATAAATATGAGTTATTAATAGAGGAAAAAGATTTTGTTCAGGCAGTAGTCTCCCTGTCCTGGAATTGTACCATGCCCCTGCCTCTTCCCCAGTACAAAGATTCTTCCCTCTTTCCCAAAACTATACTCCTGAAATGGTAGAGTGGGGATCAAGGGACTGTCCAGCTGGGCTGAGAAAAGTCCCTTTCTTCTCTTTTTTTTGGGGGGTGAGGCAATTGGGGTTAAGTAACTTGCCCAGAGTCACACAGCTAGTAAGTATTATGTGTCTGAATCCCGATTTGAACTCAGGTCCTCCTGACTCCAGGGCCAGTGCTCTATCCACTGTGCCACCTACCTGCCCCAACTCCTTCCTATTCTTATTTCCCTACCTTATTCCTATCTCCTCTATCCCCCTATTCTTCCTTGCCAGCGCTAAGTCATTACCTGCAGAGACACTTGCCAGGGCCAGGATCCCGACATGGTATTTTCCCCATCGACAATCTTCTGGTTGAATCTCAGAACAGGTTTGATAGCTGGGATCCCAAAACCTGTAGTGGACAAATACAGAACAACCCTATGATAGCTTAACCATTATAAGGGCTTACATTTATAAAGTGAAATTTATAAAACTTTAATAACTATAAATATTATTCTTAAATATGAGGAAATAGGCTCATCAAGGCTAAGTGGATTACCCATGATCACACAGGTAAGGTCAGTGCCCTAGTGAAAGCAGGCCGTGAAAGTTTTGGGGGTTAAGGAAATGGGGAAGTACCCCTTTACTCTAAATTGCTCCCCACAAAGCCTGCCTTCCTTCCTCTCCCAAACTCCTCCCTCCTGAGTCCCTGCCACCATGGCTCTCTATCCATACAGACCATTGGAAGGGAGAGCTGAAGGCTGTGAATTGATGGGCAAGGACTTGTGGGAGTTAGGAGCTGAAATTCAGCATGAGTACTGCGTTGGAGGACCTCAGTGAGCATTAAGCCCTGGGCATGGTTGGGCCTTGGAGAAATCACAGAATTTCAGAATTGAAAGGACTATTAGGGAGAGGTAGAGGATATGGGGAGGACTGGCTCTTCAGCATGATGTGTGGAAATTTCCAAGAGTTATGAAACAGCATGGTACAATGAACTTGGAATCAAAACACCTAGGCTAGGTTCAAGTCTCTCAGCTGCCTTGAGGTGGTGGGTGGCACAGTGGATAGAGCCCCAGCTAAGAAGGGACTTGGTAATAGGAAGGGGAGGGAGCTGAGAATGGGAGCAAATGATCTTGTATGGCTTACCGTAGCAAGAACCAAGGCATGCCAGGCACAGGAGAGTCCACAGCACTGCCATCTCTGCTGATTTGTCTGGGGCAGGCTCTGGGACAGGACAGAGCTTGAGATGCAAAGACCCTGGGCCTTATTCCAGTGCCAACCCAGCTGTGACTTTACTGCCCCTTCACATACTCTGTCCTGATAGAGGGGATGTGGAGAGGGTGGGCAGGTCACCTGCGTTTCAGAGATCTCCCAACCCCAAGTCCCTACCCAGATATGGCATACATAGAAGGATGGGCTCCCCCAAGTCTGAATTGAGTAAACTCCCACCCGTTTGATTGGGAGGCTGTGCTTCCCTCTGGAACTATTGTTTTCCCACAGGAGCAGGTTGGGGTTTGGGTACAGAAAAGGCCTTTCTTCAAACAGTAGTTCTTAGAGCTCCAGAACCCAGGGAAAGAGTTTGAAAAGGTGAAAGGGAGTGGATGGGGAAAAAGGAGAGTCCAGCTAGAGACCTGGGATGCTCTCTGACTGGATTTCTTGTGGGGTTCCATATAGCTACAGACCCCATGCCTATTAGGACTTCTATGCTGATAACTCTTCTTCCTCTCAAAAATAAGTAAAAATTGGGATTGGCCCAAAAGATGGAGAAAGAGGTAGTAATTTTTTCCTGGGGCACACGGATGGAGATCCAGTCACATTTCATGGCTTGAGTTCATTTTTCCCCAGGGATGGATAATCCTGATTGGAAATTGAACCCATTCATTCTTAACTGATTGCCAGAAGCCCATGAACTAGAACTAATGAGCACTTGCTAGGGTGGGTAGATGCAGAACAGAAACAATGGTCTTGTGCAAAGAATGCTGGATTTCTGGATTTGGAATCAGAGGACTTGGATCCAAATTCATTTCTCCTACTTACAATACAGGTGACCTTGGGTAAGTTACTCCCTGCTTGCATCTCATCCATGTATAAATGGATTCGGTGGAACTAATTCATCTCTATGGTTCCTCCTAGCTCTGGCTCCCATGGTTCCTATGAGCACGGGGAGTGACAGGAGGGAGCTCTAGGGTGGGGTGGGGGAGACAGAAAATAATGGAAGGGAACACGGGTGGGTGGGGAGGGAGAGCTTTAATGTGTCAGTCTGAGGAGGCTACTAATAAGTAGTTAATCAAATTCACAAACCTCTACTGACTCACCTTCATGCCCACTCTTGTGCTGGGAGGTGCTGTGGGCAAAGCAGGGGAAGGCAGTCCCTGTAGTTTGGGAGGGTCGACATGTCAGGAAATTGGAGACCTGCACAACCCGTGATAATACTGAATGTGTGATGTGGTGACACCAAGCAGAGATGAGAAGGGCAGAAGGTGTGTGTGTGTGTGTGTGTGTGTGTGTGTGTGTGTGTGTGTGTGTGTGTGTGTGTGTGTGTGTGTCTCGGGGGAGATGGGCAGGGGGAAACGGAATGGTGGAAAGGTCTGGATGATGAAAGAGCTTAATTTGTATAATAGGGCTACGGTGGGATTAAAGTCTGTTAAAAGACCGAGAGAAATTGGGTTGTGGGGTGGAGTGAGAAAAGCTCCTTTTGTGGGTCTGAAGACTCCCTGGTCTATGTCCTTACCAGGCTAGGGCATAAAACAGGGTGGGAGGCTCTTTCCCCTTTCTCCTGTCCACAACCCTAACCTTATCAGTATCCAGGTGTAAAGGCTCTCACCAACATACTCCCAATTGGCTAGGAGAATTGCCCTTCTCCAGACCCCAAGGATCCCTCCCCCAGCCATTTCCTATTTGGGGCTCTGGTTGCCTTGTGGAAGACTGTTTGATCATCCGCCCTGCCACAGTTCCTCCCCTGAGGCTCTTTCCCCTTCTCCCTCTCCTCCCTCTCCCCTTTGTCTGTCTCCTTCTCCCTCTTTCCCCCTCCCGCGCCCCCTTTCTCTCTCCCCTTTTTTCTTTTTCTTTTCCCATAGCCCAAAGGTATCTTCTTTACATTTGGAAGAAACTGAAATGGAATTTCTCCAGCCAGTGTAGTCAGTTTGGGAGGGATTTGGAGGGATAGAATTTGTCTCTCCTAGAGTCAGGTTCTAACCTGAATATAGTATCTGTCCCAGAAAATCCAGAGACAAGGGTCCCTTCTAGCTCTAAATCTTTTGTCATTTTTTAAAAATGCAGTTTTAAAATTCTTCCTTCAGTTCTAAATTCTCACCCTCTCCCCCATTCAATGAGAAGACAAGAAAAACAAAACTTATTTATAAATATGTATAGTCATGCAAGACAAATTTCTGCATTGGCCCCCCCCCAAAAAAAAAGGGTAAGAAAAAGAAAGAGGAAAAAAGTATGCTTTGATCTGCACCCTGAGACGATCAGTTCTCTATCTGCAGGTGGATTGCATGTTTCATCATGAATCCTTTGGAATTGTAGGGTTATCATGCTGATCAGTTAATAAGTCTTTCAAAGATGATTTATCTTTATAATGTTGCTGTTACTGTGTAGGATTGTTCTGGTTCTGTCCACTTTACTTTTCATCAGTTCAAACAGGATTTCCCAGGTTTTTCTGAAACCATTCCCTTCATCATTTCTTATAGAACAATGGTATTCTATCACATTCATATATACCATAATTTGTTCAGCCAGCCATTCCCCAATCGATAAGAATCCCTTCAGTTTCCAATACTTTGCCCACCACAAAAAAAGGTCTAGCTCTAAATCTTATGACAGTGAATAAATAACAATAATCCACTCCACCCTACCACCATCCAGCATTTAACTCTCTTCTATTCCAGAATACCTAATACATATATGCTTCACATCAGAATGCCTCCCACTAAATGAAAGAATTAAAGAGGGCATAGCATGACCAGATCTCAATTATATTATAAAGCAGTTGTCAAAACTATTCTTTTGTTGGTTAAAAATAGACAAGTAGATTAATGGAATAGAGTAGATAAACAAGACTGAAAAGTAATATAACATATTAGCCTAGTGTTCAATAAATCCAAGAAACACTAATACAAAGGGAAGGTTCCCTGTATGACAAGAAATGTTGGTAAAACTGAAAATCAGTTTGGTAGAAAGTAGGTTTAGATAGCAACTTATGGCATATGCCACAAAAGCTCCAAAGGAATACTCAACCCAAATATAATAGGTCATATTATAGAAATAATTAGAGAATAGAGGTACTTTTCATACCTATGTCTGGGGGAGAATTGTATGTGTTTGTGTGTATCCATATATATGCATAAAAGATAAAGGAGAAATTTTGGATTACATAACATTAAAAAGCTTTCACATGAACTAGAATAAGAAGAGAAAATGTCCAATGTGGGGGAGGGATCTTTACATCAAATATTTCTGATAAATGTCTTGTTCCTAGATATATAGGAAATTTGCACAAATATATGACCAAGAACTATTTCCCAGTTGATAAATGGCCAAAAGATATGAGAGGTTTTCTTTTTTTCTTAATTCAATTTTATTTTCACTTCCAAATTCTCTCCTTCCCCTTCCTCCTCCACGCATTGAAGAGGCAAGAAAAACAAAACCCATTACAATATATACTGTAGTATAGTCATGCAAACAAATGTCCACATCAGCTATGTTCCCCCCTGCCCTCTCCCCCCACCCCCAAAAAAAAGAAAAGAAAAAGAGAATAGATTTTCATCAACACTCTGAATCCATTAGTTCTCTATCTGGAGGGAGATAGACTATTTCATCATGAATCCTTTGAAATTATGGTTGGTCATTGTATTGATCAATGTTACTAATTCTTTCAAGTTGATTGTCTTTACAATATTGCTGTTACTGTATAAATTGTCCTCCTGGTTCTGAGTACTTCACTTAGCATCACTTCATGCAAATCTTCCTAGGTTTTGAGATGAGAAATTTTCAAAAGAGAAAATTGCAAACTCGATATGAAAAATGTCACAAATTGCTAAAAAATGAGGGAAATACAAATTAAATTAGCTGTAAGAGTACTTCACATCCTTTAAATTAGCCAAGAAGATATAAATGGAATTGGTCCAACCATTCTGGAAAACTATTTGGAATTATTTGAAAAATATTACCAAACTGTTCATACCCTTTGACCTCAGTGATCCTACAACATAGGCATATTCATATTCATTTTACTATGGAGTTAGATTCTAAAACCAGCATACAGCAAAGATCTGCATATAATCAAAATTTCCCTTGAAAAATTAAATCTTAAATCTCACATAAAGAGTACAGTATAGTATCTTTTTTTTTTAATTTTAGGAGTGTAATGCTTCTTTATTTTGTATATATACATAACTAATATATTTTCTTTGAAAACATTTTTTTTACTTCTTTTGTTTTAATATCACTTATATTTGCCACTGTATTCCTCCACCTTTTTCTTACAAAGAGCCATCCCTTATAATAATGATTCTTTAAAAAAGAAAGAAAAAAAGTTCCACAAAATTAACCAACATATTAAAAAAAGTCTGATATTAAACATAGTATTCCACACCCCTAGCTCCACCGACAGTGCCCTAGTGAGATTATCTTTCCACAAGTCCCCCCCCATTAATTATTCCCATCTTTTATCATCCTTGCCAATTTACTAGGTTTCAGGTGAGTTATTTGCATTTCTTTTATTATTAGTGATTTGGAGTATTCTTTCATGTGGCTGTGAATAGTTTTTAATTCTTTTGAGAACTATTCATATCCTTTGACTACTTCTCTATTAGGGAATAGCTTTTGGTCTTACATGTTTTTCTTCGTTTTTATATATCTTAGATAGCAGATCCTTATCAGAGATATTAGATACAATGATTTTTTTTCCTCAGTCTACCCACTTTCCTTCTCCTAGTTGTATTAGTTTTGTTCATGCAAAAGCTTTTCAATTTCATATAATAAAAAATTACTTATTGTATCCAGTACAGTATTTTTTAATCATTTAATCATTGCAAAAAGGCTAGGGTCTTTTAAAACAAGCTAGTCTGTGTAAGAGTAGATGGAGCTGAGATAGTTGCTATGGAAACAGTTGAATGTAATGTTAAGTGTGTATTGTCCATATAAAATGTCTATGTCAACATTGTCTAAATGTGGCTCATAGGGAGGCATTGGTAGCTATTTCTGGAAATCTCACCCATCCCTCTCCAAGGAAAATTTTGATTTTTTTCCTGGAGGTGAGCAGGAGAAAGGTCACAAGGCTATCTACTCTTCTCTTCAGAGAAAGAAGGGTACCAGATTAGATGTATGTCTATCAGTTCCACTAAATGTTGCTGGGCAGGGGTCATTTTTTATATTCAAGCTACTTTCCTCAGTATCCTTTAAAGGGGAGAATTTGGAACCCAAAATTTTAAAAAATGAATGTTAAAAATAAATAAGTAGTCCTGTAACCAAAAGAAAAGAAATTTCCCAAAAAAAAAAGATATTTAAAAAATATCCTTTAAAGGGAAAGGATAACCCCAAACTTATATCTATGGGCTTGATTCCTTTCCTCCAAATACTAGTTACACAAACGATCATCACAAATAGTGAATAGAGAATAAACCCATTTATCCTGACAACAAATTAGAATTCTCCACTTCTATCTGAAAGACGGAATAAATGTACTCTCCACTGAGAGTGAGATATCTCAGCTCAACCAAGAACGAGGTCCTGATCACAGAAACTCCCCAAAGTCTCTATGGAGGTAGACTAGAAACTGAGGACATACTGAGGAACCAGCTTTCCTCCACATCTCTGCCTTTTATACATATCTCTACATCTCTCTCTTTCCCCAGAGTAAGTCCTAAAAAGAGTCTGGAACCACATGTGTGAGTGTCTCTCTTTCAAAATAGGAATGAAGAAGAACATCTGTCCTCTCCAAAGCTCTTGGATCAATTCTGCCTCTCACACAGGCACACCATGAATAATCATTCCCTCTACCAATACAGAATCACACCTAAACAGTGGCCCACAAAATGCCGCCATTTAAAACCTTGTTTACAGTACGTTTTGTTTCCCACTGCATCCAGCCAAACTATTGATCAGGAAGGAAGAACATTGACTTCTACTCAAGTAGGAAAAAAAGGAACAGGTGAAGATTTAGGTGACAGGAAAATTGAGGATTTAAGCATAGGTGAAAAAACACTGGATTTGGAGTTAGAATTACATGGGTTCAAAGCATGGCCCTTAAGATGAGAAATGAGAAGACAGCTCCATCCCACTCCTTTGAAGAGACA